GCGTGTGTCGAAGGAAAAATGGCTCGCAAGCCATTTGGTAGCTGTACCTCTCCCCTCGCTAAGGACCCGCTTGCTCTTGTTCACATGGATGTCTCTGGACCGATGCGGCATGCATGAAAGGGAGGAGCGCGGTTCCTCTTGGTGATGCTCGACGACGCGACGCGGATGTGTTGGACCGACTCTTGAAGGCAAAACGCGATGCGGCCAAGGCGATTCAAGAGTGGGCGCTCGAAGTTTGCAACGACGACAAGAAGCGGATCAAGGTTATTCGCACCGATGGTGGTGGCGAATTCGTGAACGCGGAGCTTGAGAAATGGATGAAGAGCAAAGGCATTAAGCATGACGTCACAACACCCTACACACCCCAACAAAATGGAGCGGCGGAGCGGCTTAATCGCACATTGGTGGAAGTCGTTCGTTCGCTACTTCAACACTCCAAGCTTGGGAACGAGTGGTGGGGAGAGGCGAGTGCGCTAGCGGCATGGATTCGTAATCGTTTGCCGACAAAGGTGCTCCCGGGAACGACTCCGTTCGAAGCATAGAGCGGAACGAAGCCGAACCTATCCCGCCTTCGCACCTTTGGGTGCCTTTGCTACTACCATGTACCGGATCCTCTTCGCCACAAGTTGCAACCGAAAGCTCGTGCGGCGATCTTCTTGGGAATTGCGCCAAACGAGCGTGCATGGCGAGTGTGGGACTTGGGTGAAAAACGCGTTGTCACGTCTCGGGATGTGGTCTTCGACGAAGACAAGTTCCCGGCGAAGGAGAAACCAACTCAACAAGTCACCTTCATCCTTCCGGCACGAGAGGAGGTTGAAGAAAGTGAGGTACTACCTCAAGTGGAGAAGGAAGCCGGAAATGGATGTGGAGAGAACAACGAGGAGAGCGTTGATGATGTCGTGGAGTTGACACCAACCGAGATGGCAACTACCTCCACACCTTCCTCCCTACCATTGGCCTTGGCTCGCGAGCGTCTTGAGGTTCGTCCTCCCTCCAAATATGCCGACTATGCTACGGTAGCCGTTGGGGAGACGGATAAGGAGGGCGCGGCAATTTGCTTCACGACCAAGGGTGATGATAAACACGCGAAATCTCTCATGGAACCACCCCCTAAAGATCCATCCCGTGCATGCTATGAGCATGTTGGTTTGCACACCTAGTGGGTTGGGTGCAAGGGGGAATGTTGGAGGTGGCGTGTGTTGGAAGCAAGGTGGTGGTGGGGCAATTGATATACCCCCAACCCACCGAATGTGTTGCTTCCGAATGTGTTCATTGCAGGTTTCGTGAAGTTGTAGGTTGACTTCGAAAGACCTGCAGATCGGTGCCACATGGCAGCACCTGGAACATTCGAGGACCAAGGGAACATTCGAATGTGTAAAATTCGGTTGACGAATTTCACCAAATCGAAATGTTACACACGGAACATTCGCGACACTTCGTGTAGCAACTCAATGTTACGTATGCGATTCGACAAATTGAGTAGCTATAAATGTGTGCGCTTTGTATGCATGTTTCATACTGGAAAACGTGAATCACTTCTAAACGTTAGGCCATTGGTTTTTATTCGTACAAATATACAGTCTGATACGTTTCGTCTACAAAAGCAGGCAGCGCGTGTATTTTCATCAGTTACGAGCGAAGCACCGACAAGACCCCACGCGCCCTTTCCACCCCCCCACTCCCACCTCCCCCTACCCTACCCTCTCCCTCCCCTTCCTCCTCACCACCAGCAACCCACCCAAGTTTCTCAAGTTTCTTTCAAATACTTCAGCCCGATCCCCCCAAAGTCCCTCTCGCAGAATACTGTAACCCCCCCCCCCCATCCCCCCTCCCACCTATCGCAGCCCAACATTCTGTGTCGCCCTGCAAGAAAACTTTGGAAAAACGGGGAAACTGCAGCAGAACAGAAATATCCAACAGCACCCACATGAACAGAACCTGAGTCATTTGCGCGAAGGATTCTGCGGTGCGATAAGTGAACCTGACCTGGATTTGCTCCTGAAAAGTCTCAAAGTTTTCAGGTCGGTTCGGATAGCTGGAATGAAACCCGCAAAACACTCCAGCAATCCCCTGCCCAGGTTCCAGGTCAATTTTCTGCGACTCGTTCGATTTTTTCCGTCATCCCCTTATCACTTCTCCCAGTCCCACTGCCTGCCTTATCCAAGCACTGAAGAGCTGGCATATAGGTACAAAAGGCAACGAGGCAACCCATTTTAATCAGAACACTGAAGTTCAGTTCTTGGTATGGATAGTAGTAGCAGTCAGAATTCCTTCCATAGTCAGAATAGTCCCGAGCCAGTCCTCCGCGATGGCGCGTCTGGCTTTCCTCGTCGCGTCCCTGTCAGTGATGCTGGTGGTGGCTTCCGCGGCACCAAGCGTCATGACTGGACCCAGCAACCCGGCAGTCAACCTCGACCAAGCCAAGGGCGCTAATGGCGTCGTGACGGATGTCCCTGCCAGCATCGAGAAGGCGGCTGCAACGGGCAAGCTGGACCAACTCCAGGGCACGACGGTCGTGAGCACGGGCACGGACAGTATTCTTATGGTGGACGTGAAGCAGGCCGGATGGAACAAGATGAAGTGCAAGTGGAGCGACGGCTTCGCCGATGCCGGGAAGGGCGCGTGCACAGTTCAGAACTGCAGCTTGGGCGGCATCCCCGCCAAGTGGAAGACGTCGAACCTGCTCAAGAACAAGCTCGGAGTGGAGGTGTACGTGAAGGGCAACCCGTGCACTGTTAAGAAGGCGTCCCCGCAGACGTGCTGCAACACGTGCGCGGGTTTCTCTGGCTGCACGTACTGGCAGTACATCCCCGACATTACCATCGACGGCAAGAAGTCGGACGGCGCGTGCTACCTGGTGCACGACAACATCGACTTCACCTGCGGTGAGCTCACCGCGCAGTACGCGACGGACTCGAAGCCCATTCAGCTGCAGGTGCGCACGGGCGGCGAGTGCAACCCCGCGGCGAAGATCGCTAACGACCCGCATCTGGTGGGCGCGTACGGGACGCACTTCGACTTCAACGGACGCCCCGACAAGGCTTTCTGCCTGCTGGCTGACAGGGACCTGCACATCAACATGCTGCTGCGCGGTTACTACTCTGACGACACGGAGAACGCGGCGCTCGTTGTGGACGGCAAGGCGGTGCACACGTGGATCAAGGAGCTGGGCATCATCTGGTTCGCCAACGGCGCCGACCACAAGGTGCGACTCGCGGCGCGCGGCGGCAAGCAGCAGGAGCGCGGCGACGGTTTCATGAAGACGATCGAGATCGACGGCGAGGAGATGCCGCGTATGAGCGTGGGCGACGAGGTGACGACTGAGGACGGTCTGACGCTGCGATTCGCCGCTCTTGAGAAGGAGGGCCCGTATGACGTGGACTACTACACCCTCGTCATCGACGGCCTCGTGGGTCTCGACCTGCGTCTGCGCGTCGCCAACCCCAAGCTGCAGACCCCCAACGACGCCGAGGCGCACATCAACGTGGGGATTGTCGAGCTGGAGCACACCGACGACGTGCACGGCGTGCTCGGCCAGACGTACCGCCCTGACCACGCGGAGCGCGCCGCTAACTTCCAGAAGATGATCGCGACCCTGCACCGTCCGGTCTCGGCGGAGAGCCAGGAGGGCGCTGGGTTCCTCGACGGCACTCCCCGCATGTACGAGTCGAGCTCCGTGCTGTCCGTGGACTGCGCGTACACCGAGTACCACCGCGCCAAGCAGCTGAGCCCCGTGCAGCATATCGACTTGGAGCCCCTGCCCTAGACTCCCCACAAGCTGGTGGATTTATTTCGGTGGGCTTATTTCGGTGGGCTGATTTCGGTGGGCTTTTTTTCGGTGGGCTGATTCGGTGGGCTGAATCTTGCACAAAATACCTGTGCATCTGTATTGTAGGTGGGCTGGTTTAGCTTGTAATTCTGTTCTGTCTTTTTTAAGATTTAGTTTGCATGCCAGGTTTCGAACAAGTCTGGTCGTCGCACAAGTTCCAACGCTCGTTCGAACACCTCAATGTTATGCTGTTGGCATTCAGTAATGTTGCGATCACCGGACACGTTAGGGAATCGACGCGACCTGATTGTACAATGGATCGCTTATTCGGATTGAACAGCCAGTCACGGCCCGAATTCCTGTGTCCGAAAGTTTGCTCTTGTATGAATGTGTAAACCATCAACTAAATAAAAACACTAGGGTCCTTTCTTGTTCCAGTCCTTATCATTATTAACTCCTTTTTATGAATAATAAGTTACATTGCGGTGCAAATATTTCATAAACTCAACGGTACAATGCGTGGTACTACTGTAAATCTCGAAAATCCTTGTGTGGGACTGCCCTAAGCCACGAAGCATGAATTGTACAGTAAAAAGACGCACTCGGCAGGCCCTCATATCATCCTGCTTCTCGCCAATTGGCTGTCGCAAGTTCCTAGTTATAACCCCTCTTCTTTCACCTTCCCATTGACCTCTCCCTTCCCCACTTCAACATTCTGCTCTAACCACCTACACTGTATCAGGAAGGTGCTGCAGTATAACACTACTCCCCGGTTCTAACGCCCCCCCCCCCCCCCCCACACACACATTCCATTCCCTTCCTCCCCTTCCCCCCATTTCTATCGCGCCCTAATTGTGCCACCCCCTGTTCAGCAGCAGTCACCCCAAGACGAGAGAGATTGTGGACAACCAAGAAAGGAAGGCACCGAGGAGGAGAGGGCAAGGGTTGGGATGAGCGTGGATGGGGGATGGGTTTGAGAGAGTATACAGGGTGAGCTAATAGCACTGCTAATAGTGCTAAGTCCTCGTATCTCAAAACTCAAAATAGACATACAAGTTGTATGCACAATCAACATACCGTACAACATTGCAATCCTGAAGAAACACCAGAGCAAAACCGTCTGGCAGCAAGCAGCAAGCAGCCCGGTCTGGCACTTAGGCATTGCAACCAACCACTAGCATGGTTCACCGGGAAACTGGAAAGGATACCCTTAGACGGAATATACAGGTGGCTAATACGGATACGAGCCCTTCGCAAGTCCCTTGGGTGAGTAAAAGCACGCCCAGAGCTGAGCCCCCGCACCGGCACAGGTGTACGAGGCACATCCAACGGCTGTCGATGCCCGAGACACGATCTGGATGTAATGCGAGCAGATGGCGCCCGCTGCACACCCTCCATTTAGAGGCGAGTAGGTGTAGCTCGACTTCTCCGCCACCCACGAGTTCACGACCATCCTGCCGGTCCATTGGCCGATTCCAATTGTCGTCATCAGGTTCTGTCCATAGGTCAGGGCGCTGGAGCGGGTGGCTGTGCGGCAGGTGTTGTCTGTTGTAGCAAGCGATGTGATCCAGGTCAGAGCCTCCGCAGCCACTGATGGGAGGAGATGGGAGAGGGGAGCGCAACGCAGGGAGAATTTCAACTTGTAGGATCGGGGGATATGCTAGGACAAGGGGGAGAATTTTGGCAGAAGCAGCTGACGGTGCTAACATGGCCACAGGACATTGGACCACACTAATCGTTTTAGTCACACTCACGAGTGTCATTCCACGTCAGCGCCGGCACACCGACAGCAGCACGGGCGTCGTTGTGCGGCTCCATGAAATCCGAGTTGCCCACAGCCTCGCACTTGCTGTTCACCATGCGGTAACCGTCCGTGCAGTTACACACGCCTGCTCCGTTCGCCACGTAGCAGTTCGAGTTGGGACCGCAGTTGAGCGGCGTGCACACGTCTGGCGGGAGGAAGTGGAGACGGGGGGCAGACGGGGGATAGTGAGTGAGGAGGCGGGAGGGAAGAGGCGGAGGAGTCGGGGGTACAAAACAGAGGCGGAAGTGGCGAGGGGGAGGGATGGAAGGGATGGAGTGGCAGCGTTGACTCACCGACGCACATGCCGTTCCTCTCAGCAAATCCCTTTGTTGCAAGAGCACTTGGCGCCGGCTTTTGAGTCGACTGAATAGCAGAATTCTGTCAAGTGCGGGGTGTTAACAGCGACTTACCGACGCACACGCCGTTCTTCTCGGCAAAGCCTTTGTTGCAATAGCACTTGGCGCCCGCCCACTTGGTCTCGAGGTGGCTGTTGGCCGGACACGTGTACAATTTAGTCAGGTCCTGCCCTGCTCGGTGGTTACCACGTAACAGCAACACAAAAACAGCAGCACAGCGTTGGAGTTAGGAATATTATATGAGGTTACTGAAGGGATTAGAAAGTGTTCGTGTAATAGGGGGGGAGGAGCGGATTACAAGGAGAAGCTGGTACCGAGGCGCTAATAATTCGTCACTTCCACAAGCCTGGAGTTTCGTGGTACTCACAGTATAGGCAACTGACAGACTTGATAGGCGTGCGGATGAAGGGGAACGGGCTGCAGGAGGTGGGGAAGGAAGAGTAGAGGAGAGACAGGAAGAGAAGGGACAGGATAGACAGGACGAGTTGAGGGAGTGATGGCAGCGATGTGATATGACAATGAAAGAGGGGCATGCGAAATCAGGTGCGAGCCGGCGAGAGAAGAGAGCACGGTTGAGGCACGGTTCAATCGGCGCGCAACGAGGAAGGAGGCACGTGTGCAGTCGGGGCGAGGCAAGGAAGAAGCATGTGGGCAATCGGCGCGGACGTACTTTCGCGTGCTGGGCAAGGGCGGATTGCGGTCCGTGGGGCATGTGAGCTGCTGCACTCCGACATTGCAGTCGCGGCTCGAGTAGAATTGGAGCTGCAACACCACAGCGACGCGAAAGTTCCGTCAACACAACGTTCGAATTAGTGACGCGACGACTGGGCGAGCAACGCGACGCGACTCAGAGTGATATCGTTGCAACGAAAAAAACGGGTGCTCTTTCGAGGAAGCAAACATCCACCCGTCAAACAGCGACATCACTCCCGCTGGGATTGCGGACTTGCGAGTCGCCAACGGACCTGCTGGCAAGTGACGAAGTACCAGTCGCTCTTCATCGCCTGCGTCGGCGCGTACCACTCGATCTTGATCGAGCCGAGATACGTCGACGAGTAGTATTCCGGCGGGAAGTTGAGGCAGCCGTCCGTGGGGCTTGGAAGCCATGTCACCCACTTGGCCCCGGTGAGATTCGTCTGGTTCCACCACGTCATTTTCGTGGCGCACGGCGTGTCGCGATTCGGAATTCCATTGATCATGAGCGACCGGCGGTTCTTGGAAGCTGCAGGACGTTAAAACGGGAGAGTAGCGCATAAAGTAGCGCTTGATTAGCAATAGTACTTGGAGAATCAGATTGCACGAAGGTGGAAACAAAGAAAAAGAATTAACGAAAAGTTCTGATAAATCCAGCAGAGACAGAGAGATCCGTACCTTGCGGGTGGTGCACCTGCGCATCGGCGCGGAGAATGGGCGCCACGAAATTGGTGTCGTCAGCTGGCGTGGATGAGCATGGCGGGCAAAGGCCGGGAGAAATTGGAGGTGATGTTGGAAGTGTTGGATGATGAAATACGACGACGGAAAGGGATGTGAGGAGAGAGAATAAGGGTAGATTGAGCTACGCGTGCAGTCTGAGGGATACGGAGTTGACAAGGTCACGGTGCATCTAACTTGCCTGGCGATGCTGCGACGAGCGCCACGAAGGATATGAGGAGGAAGAGTACGACCAGCCGGGCCATGCTGATAACTCGCAGTAACCGCTCGTTGGTTTCAGGGGCAGGCTACTAACTGCTGTTGCGGGAAGTAATGGCCGCTGGGGAATGTGGTGGTTACTACTTGGAGGTTCTGTTGTCGCAAGCCGAGGTGTTAGGAATTTTGTTTCAGCTGTCGATTATTTGTATGGGAGCTGAATGTGTCCATCCGTACTTTCGAGGGAATATAGGGGGGGGACCCATTCCATGGCCAAGGAACACATGCGATGCGACAATCCATCCTTGGGATGGGGCGGGATCATTGGATGCATGACATGAGCCGCGATGTGCGGCCCAGACATGCCATGACGAAACGAAACGGGACCAGCAGTAACCACGTAGTCCCTTCAACGCCTTGTCTTGACGCTTGTTGCGAAGCAGTTATGCTTCAACGATTGTCGTTTCAAGAAAGCAGGGGCTGACGTTCGCGCGAGTCGCAGATGACGCGAAACATCCATCTCTGGAAACGGACACCTTGACCTCATGTGGGAAAGACCCTCCGTCTATTCGGCAGAAATCCTGAGACCGACATGACAGCGGGACCAGGGAATATCAGAATTCAGGTGGATAACGAAACTTGCGGAACCCCGATAAGCGCGCAGTGGGTTTGGCATCGTATTTGGCGGCGCTGGGTCCGATGATGAAGAGCCGACTCATTTCGAGCTGCCTCACTACAAATCCGGTGGTGCCGAACGAGTCTTTCACAACAGTGGGAGGATGACTACATTAACTCACGTTAACGACAATCAGTCTTATACAGCCACCACATCAATCCAGCCATTTAAAACCTGGAATAACGAAAGGCTGAATCGCTTTGCGTAATTATGACAAACAAAAACCACCTCGTAGACGAGGAAAAAAAATCAACAGCCATTGACATAAATCTGGTGTCAGCCATTCTCAGCCGCGTCATATGAGTTGGATTTGTGCTTTGGAGTAAAACTGAAGTTCGGTGGCGGAGGGCCCAGAAGCATTTCAGAAATCTTGACCTGATCAGAGCAAGGAGATGAGTGAAACATGCACGGAGCACAATATAAGATGAACCGGATGAAAAAAAAACAAGGAAAAACAGGAAACAGAGGACATGAGATGCAGAGCACACTGAGCCACACAGGCGGCACAAGGGGGTCTAGCAGGATGAGTAAGGGAGGTCGCAAGGGAAGGGCAAAGCTAGCAGCAAGTGGCATATGTCAACCACACGCTTGTCACATTAGCAACAGGCCAATAAACCAAACCAATTGTGGGGCTGGTCTGTTCCATGAACGTCAATAAACATTTTCAGCTGCAAGTTTTGGGACGTCTCAGCGACCGACCTGGGGACGTCTAAAAACGTCACAGGGTCGTTTTCGGTTGCAAAACCAGGAGGGGGGAAGGAACGGGGGTTGGGAAGAGGAGGGGGAGGGAGGGAGGGGGAGGAGAGGTGGGGAATGAGGAGGGAGGGGAGAGCACTACTCACCCAGTCGTGGGGCTGGTCGGAACCAAACAAGGTCTCGAGATCATTCCTTCCATGGAAGGCCGAGGGCCGCCAGTTGATGCGCTGGGGCAGCAGCTCCAGCAGCCCCACGGGCACGTAGTGGTGCAGACCTTGTTTCCCTCCCAGCCACTCTTTCACTCCCCTTTCTGCCCACTCACCGAAAGTCCGCCCTCTCTTTTCCAGGAGCGTGTGGAAGGACGGGGGAACTCACCCAGTCGTTCGGCTGGTCAGACCCAAACAGAGTCTCGAGATCATTCCTGCCGTAGAAACCAGGAGGGCGCCAGTTGATGCGCTGAGGCAGCAGCTCTAGCAGCCCCACGGGCACGTAGCGGTGCAGATAGCTCAGCCACTCCAGCAGGAAGCGGCGGGTGGTTTCGACCCCGCGCGTGTCGGAGCCCCAGTGCAGCAGCCCGTAGCGCGTGAACGAGCGCAGCATGTCCAGCCGCTCCCCCGCTGATATGTCCCAATGCCGCTGCTCCGTTATCTCCGTCAACAGCCATGGCTGGGGGGGGGAAGGGGAGGTGGTGGGAGGGATTGAGGAAGATAGACAACAGAAGAGAATAGTGGAGGTAAAACAACAGCCATTGACATTACACACAGCTTACTCACCAAAAACCACCTAAACAGCTTGCAGCACAACTCACCTTGATGAGCGCGCCGCGTGCCAGCATGCATGAGTCGACAGATGTCGCGCTGCCATTGGCCGTGTGCTCGTTCCAATCGGTGTACGCCATCACATCTCCGTTGCCTATGAACTGGCGGTGGGGGGGGTGGGAGGGGAGGGAGGAGAGGCAGAAGGGGACAGGGGGGAAGAGAAGAGAGCGAGAATTGCTGAGACTTCTCCAGTCGATGTATGCCATCACGTCTCCGTTGCCTATGAACTGTTGATGGAGGAGAGAGGCCGGGGGG